AAACTCAGCAAGCAGCTGTGAGAAAAACGAGGGAAGGTGGAAGATGCTGAAGTCATGAACTGTGATGCAACATCCCAGTTAAAGTAACCGATCAGCAGCTTAGATAAAGGAAGGAAGGTCTGAGGGTAGAGAGAGAAAGACAACAAAAGAAAGAAGGAAGGAGAGAGATAAAAGGATCAGCAAGACAATGAAGGGAAAAATGAAGGAATGAGATGGAACTTGAATCCATCTCCCACAAACCCGAGAGTATAACTTCAAGCAGACCCATGTTTATGACAGCTACCCTGAAAAATGTAATCCGGAGGACAAAGAAAGATTTTAACCTGGAGTTTAGTGAAAGAGGGGAAAAGCACTTTGTCGTTATCTACAGCTCTGTCTTTACCTTGTAAACACATCATTGAACTTCACTCCTCTCACATCAAATAAATGACTTCCACACACACTGGTCTCCACATGTCTCCTTTAGAGCGTTTTCAGCTTCATGCAGACTCTTTGATCTACTAACCTGCATATAAATGTGCAGGTTAGGTTAATTAGACTGAGCGTGAAGTCAAAGAACGGTACACCTTCAGCAAAGATCACTTGAAATGGTCCTATTTCAGTGGGCAGAGGTGAATATGGAGTTGAGAAACAAAAACAAATGTACTTCCCATCAGTACACTGTGACACCCTCGATCTAGAGATTGCGATCAGGGTGTCACGTAGGAACAACGTATGGACGAGTATGTTTGTTCGATTTCTTAGAAAGTTTATGTAACATTATTTTGTCTGTATTGAATCGACAGAAAACTGAGGAAAGATAAATTTTCTTTATAGGTGAAATGTTTTTGACTTAGTTTTAAAGATCTGTACACAGACCAGGATGTGAATATTTGACTCCTCAGATTCTTCTTTGTTGGTAGATGTTTCGTTTTATAACAGGGTTTTGGATATTTGTTTCAAATGTGGACATATTTACCTGGTCAGCGTGGGTTCCTGCCACCTCTCTCATGCTTTAGCTCACTATCAACTTACTGACTTCTCAAAGCGATGCACATTTACATGTGCCAGCTATTTATTTAGTAACTTATGATTTTCTTGTGTATTCGCTTTAAAATTCACTAGTTGAGTTGAGGTGCTTCAGGTCGGGTTATAGACCCAGGACGCCCCGGAGAGATGTCTCAGCTGACCCGGAGGCAGAGAGGGAGCTCTGGGCTTTTTTTGCGTAAGCTGCTGCCCTCAACCACACAGAAGAAAAGAAAGTGGATTGATGGTAAATGAATGATTCCCTAAAGCCAAACCATCATGAGCTTTCTCACTGTCACCACCTTTTATTTCCTCTGGTGCCCTAAAGATCAGCTGAAACTAATCTGAACATTATTTTTAGTTGCACTTCTTGTAATTACAGATCAAAAGATCCTTAATTTCCAGAGAGACTGAATCCAGAACACGCAGGAGCAAGTAGCGGCTTGAGAGGAGGCTGTTGATCTTTGAGTGCGTTTTGTGGCTAGTTAACCGTCTGTCTCCCTCCACAGGAGCTGCCATTTCAGCGACCTGTAGCTGACTCTCCACTGTTCCTGCTGCTTCTCCTCCAAACCCTCCCCAAAAACAAACTGAGGACATTTTAAAGCTGCATTAATCCAACCTCATGCACACTGGGCTGCCCAGCATTCATTCATATAAATTGCTCACCTGTGGTGATGCTCAGCAGAAACATTCAAACATGTTGATTTTCCACCTGCATAAGAACCAGTTTATTTATTTATTTCGCA